AGGAAACTATAATTATCAAGTAACAAAGGAAGCCATAAATGAAGCCCCCTCCTACCCGTTCCTATCTCGACTATGATGAACTTTCCATTCGTTGTCACACCAAGGGGCGGAGCATAATTGCAAAATCCATATTTCCCTGCAAAAATTTACTATTTTAAACATGTTTTACATTTCTTGCAGTGAAAAAACTATTTATGTTAAGAAAAACAACAACAAAATATATGCCCCGCCCACCCACCCTGTCTCAATTGTGATAATTTTTTTATTTGTCGTGAGCCAGAGGGCGGAGCTTACTTGCAAAATTCTTATTTTTTCACAAGAAATTATCATGTTCTTACAAAATTATGTTCAAAGGAAACTATAATTATCAAGTAAAAAAGAAAGGCAAAAATTGAAAAATTGAATGATCGTAGAAACAAAAATTTTAAAATTAAAAAAATTAAAAAAAAACAGAAAGTAAAATGTTGGGAAATCGAAAATTTAAAAATTCAGGAAAAATCGAAACATTAAAAGATCGAAAATCCAACAATTCCAAAAATTGAAACATCGAAAAATTCAAAAACTCAGACATCGAGAAATCGAAAAATTAGCAGATCGAGAAATCGAGGAGTCGAAAAGTCGAGAAGACCAAAATGAAAATATGGAAAAGTTGAAAATGGAAAAACTGATAAATCAAGAGATTGAACAATCAAAACACCGAAACATCCGAATCTCAATAAATCGAGATTCCAGAAAATTGAAAAATCGAAAATTTAAAAATTCGGAAAATTGAAACATTTTGAATAACTGAAAACTCGAGAAATCGGAAAACCTAAAATTTTAAACATGGAAAAATTTAAATATCGAAAAGTTAAAAAATTGAGAAATCGAAATATAGAAGTTATAGAAGCAGTCGAAAAATTGAAAAATCTAAAGTTTAAAACAAAAAACTGAAAATCCAAAAAATAAAATATCGAAAACATTAAAAAATCAAAAAATAAAAATTCGAAAATCTAAAATTTAAAGATCGAAAAACTGAAAAATCGACACATCGAGAAATCGAAACTCCAGAATTTAAAAATTAAAAAATTGCATAACTGAAAAATCCAAACATCGAAAAATCGGAAAATCTAAAAATTGAAAAGCCAAAATAATAATAATAATAATAATTTTATTGTCCAACAGGTTGCCCTAATGACAGGACAAATCTAAATAATTACTTACATGAATAACCAACACAAAAATTATAACAATAACAAAAAGCATTCAAAAATTGAGACATCGAGAAATCGAAAATCAGAGAATCGAGAAATCGAGGAGTCGAAAGCCGAGAAGAAAAGTTAAAAATTGAAAAACTGATAAATCGAGAAACAGAACAATCAAAACATCGAAACATTTGAATTCGATAAATCGAGATATCAAAAAACTGAAAAATCGAATAATTTTAAAAAAGAAATATTGGAAAATCGAAAATTTAAAAATTCGGAAAATTGAAAGATACATGGAAGAACTGGAAACTCGAGAAATCGAAAAACCTAGAATTTTAAAAATTGAAAACTTAAAACGTCGAAAAGTTAAAAAATTGAGAAATCGAAGTATAAAACAGTCGAAAAATTGAAAAATCTAAAGTTTAAAAAAAGAAAAATTGAATATCCAGAAAGTAAAAAGTCGAGAAATCGAAAAATCCCGAACTCGAAAAATCAAAAAACTGAAAAATCAACAAATCGCGAAATCAAAATTCAAAAATTTAAATAATTTAAAAACTGAAAAATCGGATAATTCAAAAATCGAAACATTGAAAAATCGAAAAACCGACAAATCCAAAAATTGAAACATCGAAAAATTCAAAAACTGAGACTTCGAAAAATTGAAAAATTAGAAGATCGAGAAATCTAGAGTCTAAACGTCGAGAAGTCGAAAAATCGAAAAATTGAAAAACCGAAACAGACCAAAAAGGAAAAGTTGAAAATGGAAAAACTGACAAATCGATAGATTGAACAATCAAAACATCGAAACATCCGAATAAATAAATCGAGATCCCAAAAAATGGAAAAACCGAAAATTTAAAAATTCTGAAAATTGAAACATTTAGAACTAAAAACTCGATAAATCGGAAACCTAGAATTTTAAACGTTGAAAAATTAAAATATCGAAAAGTTAAAAAATTGAGAAATCAAAAAATAAAAGCTATAAAACAGTCGAAAAATTGAAAAATCTAAAGTTTAAAAACGAAAAACTGAATATCCAAAAAATAAAAAATTGAAAAATTCGGAAGTCCAAAAATCGAAAAGTCGAAGATTCGAAATATTGAAAAATCCAAAAACTGGAAGAAATATCCAAAAATTGAGAATTTAAAAATCTGTAAAATTGAGAAATCGAAAAACCATACAGCAATGTCGAAAAATCGAAAAATCGAAGAATTGAGGAACTGAAAAATTGAAACTTTGCGAAGTGGAGAAACGGGAAAATCAAAAAATAGATTAATTGAGAAATCGAAAAACTGGAAATTTAGCAACGTCAAAATTTGAAAAATTGAAAAGTAGAAATACTGAGGAACTGAAAAATAAAAAAATCGAGAAATCGAAAAATCTCAAATTTAAAACATAACGCAAAATTGAAAAATCGAGAAATCCAAACATTAAAAAACCACAAAAAATAAAAATCCAATCATCGAAAAATTGGAAAATTGAAAAATTGGAAAGCCAAAAAGTAAAAAATTGAAATCCGAGATATCCAAAAATCGAAACATCGAAAAATTCAAAAGCTAAGACATCGAAAAATCGAAAAATCAGGGGATCGAGAAATCGAGGAGTCGAAAGCCGAGAAGAAAAGTAATAAAATTGAAAAATTGATAAATAATCGAGAAACAGAACAATCAAAACATCGAAACATGTGAATTCGATAAATCGTGAAATCAAAAAGTTGAAAGATTGAGAAATCGAAGTATAAAACAGTCGAAAAATTGAAAAATCTAAAGTTTAACGAAAAACTGAAAATACAACAACGAAAAAAATCGAGAAATCAAAACAATCCAGGAGTCCAAAAATCGAAAAGTCGAAAAATAGAAATATTAAAAAATCCCAAAAAATAAGAAATTAAAAAATTGGAAAATTGAGAAATCCAAAAACTTAAAGAGCAAAGTCGAAAAATCGTAGACTTAAAAAACCGAAAAATTAAAAAATCAAAAAACTGAAAAATCGAAAAATTGAAGAACTGAAAAGTGAAAAATCGAAATATTTATTTAAAAACCGTAAAATTGAATAGGACAAAAATTGAGAAATCGTATCATTGAAATATCGAAAAATAAGAAAATCGAGAAATCTAAAATTTGAAGAATGGAAAAATTGAAAAAGTCCAAAAGGCCAACGCGGATTCATAAACCGTAAACGAAAGATATAAAATTTAAATTACTACTACTATTATTGTAAAATTTGGAGATTACGTCATTTTGATGAGCGTTTTACGATTTGACAATACAATTTGAAATGTAAATTTGGTCATTCGGGAACATTATGTATATAATCATTAAGATGTTCAAAAACTTTGTTCACTTCTAAAATCCGACCACATGGTCGAAACGAGTTAGCTCTTCGTAGTGAATGTGTATCAGATCAGCTCCAACGAAAGTCGGCTTATAGATAAATCACTTAGGGTCGATATTGGCCTGAGTGCGCTCTGGTCTGTAAATCAAACAAGTTCTCAGGCGACGATTTAAGCCATAAGCGCACTATATCTTTCATGGTACCATATATAATGCCAGATTTGGGTATCAAAGAGTTGTGAGGATCCTGGCTACTGTAGCGCGTTACTGCAATCATAGTGTTCGTTTTTTTAGATCGGACTGAATTTTTTTTCTCAAAGTTTCGAAGATGTTTTCCAAACGGATCACTAACATACGATCTTTTTGACAAATGTGAGTTTCTTATTATCGTCTATTACCTATTAATTTCTGGCAACTTTAGTATACTGAATTTAACACATTATTGTGTACTTATTATGATTTAATTACTTACTTTTAACATCGCATGTGCGCGTAGCGTACTATATAAATTTATTATATGATCTAAGACTACCTATATTATGTTTATTGTCGTCGGGAGGTAGGCAAGTAGCAATTCCATCTTGCCCCTAAGGCTTATCTTCACCACCGCTACCCCCTTCCAACTCCCACCCTAGAGACCCTAAATAAGGGTCTCTGCCCCACCCTAACATAGGCCGCCCTCTGGTAGTCGAAATGTAGGAGAAATAAAGAAGTCTTCTTTATTAACCTATTTTTCTTAGGGCATAGGGCCTGCCAATTTGAATGGAAAAACTTTTCAATGCACTACAGACTCATCCCATAAGTTTCTCTTCGTTTCTATATTTCTCTCGTGTTATCTTATTGGGCGTACATAAATTTATCCTTATAGTGCCTTTGATTTCAAGACAGATGGCACTGCAGTTGCAAAAATTCTGTCAACTTGTAATGCATTTGACAATTGACAGAAAACAATTGCCGGACGCCATTCGCCATTGCACGTTTGCACGTATATGTATGACGCACTGACGCTATTCCGTCACGTGTGCACATGAGCAACCAAACAGCGCGACGTTAAATTTAAAAATTGACCCGCCAATAATAGTGTGTGAATGTAAGTCCCAATAAATAAAGAGTACAGAAAATTATTTGAAGACGCACCATGACGAGAAGGTAAAAAATTTTACTTTTTATAGCAAACTTACATAAATAATTGTATTATTGTAGATATTGTATAATTTGTGGCAACACCAAAGAAGATGCGAAGGCACTGCATTGTTTTCCTCGATCGTTTGTTAGGTGAGTTTACAAACGTTTATATTTAATTTTCAAGTACGACATAGTATTAGTTATTGTATTTAACGTAAATTTATTTTATTTTTTAGATTACGTGAATGGGGAGAAGCACTGAGGATTGGCAGCATCGAGAAGAAAGTAAAAAAACATTGGCGAATTTGTAGTGTCCATTTCTCAAAAAATTGTTACGCCAATGATTGGTCAATGATTTTAAATAGAAATGCAGTACCTTCGCAGAAGAGTCAAACGACTGAGACTGAGGTAAATAATTAAAAAAAAACAAATAATAATTGTTGTGTGAAATTTGCTTTGCTTCATTTTGTATTAAATATTCATCTTTTTTAGAACATTCAAGATAATGTGGTACAACCACCAACTGTACCACCAGTTCTTCCGATCGAACAAACAGTACAAACTGATGGTTTCTTTGTATGCAATAATCATTAATAATTTTGTTTCAGGTTACAAATGAAGACTCGAATCCTTAATATGTTGCGTAGCATTGTTATTACTACTTGGATTTGCTTAACCCTGAATAAGGGCGCAACGGAAATTTTCGAAACACGTGGTAAAAGTTCGTTATTTTAAATTTTCTTTGCGTCGACGCAAATTTTTAATATTTTGTAATGGCGGCCAAATTGAAAAAGATTAGGGATAGCGAACCGTATGATCACTATTCTTTAATTAAATCTTTCAGATTTCAGTTAAACGTGTTGTGGTAAATTGCTACGAAAATCTGTGATGACGAAATCTTCAAAAAATTTGAAAATTATTTATGGAAATAATTATGTTACATTTTTTTGTATTAAATAAGTATAACTTGCCTTAAGAATTTTGATAATAACCCAAGAAAATAGGAGAAAATCCACCAAGAGAAACCTGGAGCTATAGAGAAAGTCAGTGTACAAAATTTGGACTACGGTATACCACTCATTAAACGTTCACTGAATAAAGCATCTACGAGTATTTATTAAAAATAAAAATAGATTTGGACAACAATATAACTTATTTAATTATATTTACATTTGTACAATTATAACATCGGTGTGTTGAATTTTTTGTGGGGTAAGATTCTTTCTGTGAAGTTTTTGTCGACTGGTACTCAGATGATTTGTTCAGTTCTTGGTTAAAGATTCATTTGGAAAACTGGTCTTCTTTTTTCTACTTCATCACATTCAAAGTATATAAATAATAGCAATTATAACCTTGTCCGGTATTAAAAGATTCTTTCCAAAATCTAGGCATTCTTTTATTGATTTGGAGAAATTTCTTCGTTGATTTCAGTTGTTGTGAAGGTCTGTCCTTGGAAATGTGTGAATGTTGCAATTCTGAAAAACAAAATGTATTTTTTCTAATATTTTAAAAATAAACTTGAAAAATTATTGTTATTCTTATCTTGGTAGATGGATATTAGCTGTGTCTAAGAATTCAGAAGAATCTGAAAGAGTCTGCAGAGAAATAATCTGGAAAAATTTGAAAGAATCTAAAACGAGATGAAACCTGAAAAATTTTTAGAGAATCTGAGATTTTTTTTCAAATTCTCATTTACTTTACGACTCTTCTTTTCGAATTCTTTGAATTCTTGCTGATTCTCTCTTTCGCAGTTTTCGAATTCTTTTGAACTTTTCCCGATTCCTTCGAACTTTTCAGATATTTTCAAACACACCATCAGAAATCTTCAAGATTCTTTAAATTTTTTTAGTTTTGTTCAGATTTTTTCAGATCCTTACAAATCCTTTCAGGTTTTTCTAGATTCTTTTAGATTTTGCTAGATTATTCGAGATTTTCTCGTATTCCCTGGAGGAATCTGAGGGAATCTCGAAAAATTAGAAGAATATGGACGATCTTGCAGGACTTTGAAACGATGTGAAAAATTTGAAAGGATCTGGAAGGATGTGAAAGGTAAAAAGTTCTTAGCGAATCTGAGAGAATCGAAAAAATCGGAAGGAATCTGAACTGCTCTGAGAGAATCTAAGGAAATATGAGAAAATCCATCTCAAGAAAATAGAGGCTAGACAAAGAAAATTTTTAAAATTCTTAGCCCTTTTACAAGACTGTGTAGAGCATTCACCTCTTTTGAAGGGATTTAATTTTACATCACTGCATATGTTTTGTTCGGTAAAATTAATTTTCTATTACCACTATATACCCACCAACATATTTCTTTTTATATTAACTCTGCTAGAACTAATATTCTAGATAGATCTCCATTAATTTAATGTGTGGTTTATTTAATTGTATTTCTAATAACTGTGGTATTCATAACGATTCATTAAAACTGAACTTGCTAAACATTGTATATTATATAGGTATTTTCGATGTACTCTATTAGGTTAATTTTTTTGTTAATTTTCTAGTTATTTTTTATATGAGTATATTTTTAGTTTATTTGGTTTCTGTAATTGGGATCTCTTCCCATTTAATTAATATAAAAATTGAGAAAATTCTAGAGAGACTGAGGGAATCTAAGAGAATTTGAAAGATTCGTAAAGAAACTGAAGGAATCTGAAAGAATCTGAGGGAACTTGTGAGAATCTGAGAGAATTTTGACGAATTTCGAAGAATTTAGAAAAATCAAAGAGAAACTAAAAAATTGGTCGAAAGTTGTTTCGACAGAACTTCCTTCGCTCCTAAACTAAAATGATAATTTTTTTGAGTCACCCTATATATGCATATCCAAAAACTATCAATGGAATGATAAATCACAAGTACAAACTTTTGATCTGACGTCATCAATTTTTTGGGGGATAAGCAACTATATTTTGTCTAAAAATTTATTATGTTCTTTATAACCTTAAAATATGTGCAAAATTTCAACTTATTCGGTTTAGCAGATTCAAAATGAAATCACAAAATGTTGTTTAATTATTTTGAATTTTTTTCCAAAAATTTCAACTTTTCGGGTAAAAACTCAATATGGAATCATAAAATACATGTGCAGCACTATGTTATTTTATACAATTTGAAACCCATTCACTATGTACAATTTTGAAGTGACGTCATCGCACTATTGGTGGAGATGGTTAGACAAATTTTGGTTAGCGTTTTACCATCTACATGATATTCCCAATATACCTAAATACAAAATTTGACAACAATCAGCCCAGTACTTTCGGAGATTATCTGTCTAATAAAAATCCGGGACGGCAGACTGATGGACAGACAGACAGATAGCAAACAGACAGACAGACAGACGGAAAGGGGTCTTGAAAGGTCGAAAAAACGTAAAAGTTGACAGTCGGTCGACGGACTCGATTACCATACTTTCTTTGCTTACGCTCGGGAAGTAAAAAAACTGGAGGAATGTGGGATAATTTGGAAAAATTTGCAGACCTGAAAGAATCTGAATAGAACTGAAATTTGAAAGAATTTTGAGGATTCATGACGGTGTCTTGATAGAATCTTAAAAAATTGAAAGAGTTGGAATCAATCCGGAAGCATCCAAAATTGCATCCGGAATAATCAGAAAGAATAAAAAAAAAATCGAAAAAATCTGAAAGAGAGAATCTGAAAGAAAAAAAAACATTTGAAAGAATCTGGAAGAATTTGAGGGAATCTGAGAGAAATTGCGACATCGGAAAGAATCTGAGAGATTCGGAAAGTATTTGAAGGAATCTGAGGAAACCTGTAGGAATCCGTGAGAATCTCGAAGAATTTAGAAAAATTTTGAACAATTTGGAAAAGCCTGCAAGAATTTGAAAGTAAGTATCTGTATGGTTTCAAAACGACTTGAATAGAATTCGAAAATTCGAAAGAATCGTGAAGATTCGTGACGCTGTCTTTGAAAGAATCTGAAAAAGTTCGAAAAAATCCAAAAGAATTCGAAAGGAGAAAAAGGAAGGATCCAAAGCGATCTTGAAAAATTCTGAAGAAATCTGAGGGAATTTTCAGGGATACTGAGAGAATCTGAAAGAATACCTAGAAAAGAATCTGCAGCAAAGTGTATTTTTTCTAGAAACTTTCGCATTAATTTTTCAACATTTTGATACTGTGTTTTACGTTTTGCAAAGTAAGTTCGTTCACAGATATTCTCAGAGCCAGGAATTTGCTATAAACTACTTTAGGTAAATTACGCGAATTTAGACGTTATAAACGATTCAGTATTTTTAACGATTGTCTATTATAGACTTATGCATGCCGATATCATAACACTTCCATTTTTTAGAATTACTTATTAGAGGTTACTCAAAAAAAAAAGATGAAAAAGGTAGTTTATTCTATTGCTAAATCATAAAAAAAATTACTCATACAGTATTGTTATTAGTAATTATTATTATGACACTGCATCTATCCAAATTGATATACGTGTCTTTGCAAAAAATGTCGTCATAAAATTTTGTAATGGAAAAACTACTTGAAACAAACCCATAGCATACTTCTTTACTGTTACTTTAACAATACATACATACTTACCGTTATTTTGACTTATAAAATTTATCATAATTTTTTTAATAATATGACCCAATCTTGTAAAAGTAATAATAAAAGTACCTATCTAAAAAGTACTATAAATTTAAAAATGGGTAGTAATAGATCTGGTTACTTTATTTTTTAAACGTTACGTTTGCGCGTTTTAAATTATGATTGACAACCCTGGTTCTCTATGTGGTTCCCCGTGAATCACAAAGAGTATAAGTGTTTTGTGCTACAACCTGTATGTATCAGAGTGTTAAAAGAGTCTGATTTTAATCATGTCACTGATTATAATTTCCTTATCAATAAGTGAATATCCAGTGATAATAGCAGACAAACATAAACCTAATCGATAATAATAAGTGAGAGTTATAATCTAAGTTTTGTGTAAGTAACTGTCAGAATATATATCTAATATTTTCAACTTCTTGTGAGTTAAAATGGCAAACGAAGAAGAAACGCCTACAAAAATGATTACTATTACTGATTCTTCGAAGATTTACGAAGATATGTCCGCCTTCTACCAGAAAGAGACGTTTTCTGATATAAAGTTTATCTTATCTGAGAAAAAAATCCCCGCACACAAAGTATAGGTTTTTTATTCAATTACATATAGGATGAATTTAACTAAATTTAACTTTTAGATAGTTCTCGCTGCCAGATGCAAATTTTTTGAATCTATTTTAATGCAAGACCCCAAACAAGTAAGCAACTCATTATAAAATTGTTAAAAATAATTGTCCTATTTTAGTCGGAGATGATTTTAACAGATGTTCCTCCAAAAGCTTTCGAAGTAGTACTGAATTATATTTATACTGGTTGGACAAAAATCACTCACGTCATTTTAAAGATTTTTCTTTTCTAAAATCTGTTACAGGATCTGTTTTTATCAAATTATCCTATGAAGACGACGTATTCGACGTATTGCAACTGGCACATAAATACTCGCTAAAACCATTAGAAAACATAATAAATAAAACAATGACAAGTATGATTAATACGTCCAACGTTTGTTTATTTTTAAACAAAGCCGACGAACTCGGGATGGATGAATTAAAACAAGTTTGTCTTACCTTTATTGACAACCATCTTTCAGAAATAAGGGGAAACAAATTTCTGAACCTTCTAACACAAGTAAGGTGCCATGCGTTCTGTCATTGTTAATATGAACATTGTATTTTAGACATCCATGGTTAAACTGCTGGAGAGAGATTCCTTTCCCGCCCTCGAAATCGAGGTTTTTGAAATAGCAGCAAGCTGGTGCAAAACCAACGCTGATTTTAACAATTTAGTTACTGGATGTGTTCAGTTGACTAAATTAACGCCAGACGAAATTTTGAATGTTGTTTGGCCCTCTAAAGTAATAGACAGCGATAGATTATTGAATGCTCTCGCATACATCAAAAATAAGAGTTCAAATACGGTACCACGAAAAATGACACAATGTAAGTAGGTCTAACGTGTATAGTAAGTAAGAAGTATTACAATGTATGTTTTTCTACCGCGCACGTTTTTTGATTTTCTAATAGAGCTATTAAAGCACCCAAACGACGTCAAAGCGGTTCGTTAATTGCGCAAAGGGGTTCTGAAACAGATCTGGTGTAATTTAGATCGGTAAAATTGGTAGCCATGACAAGAAATATCAGGTGTATGTCAGTGGCAAATGTCAGATTAAAATTTTCCGTATTTCGGGAGGCGTAAGGACTTCACTAACTTCTTCACAAGACATTTTAACTAATCTTAACTTACAGAAACTCGAATTGATCAAACTCACCCATCACCAACCGCGACAAAATTCCCCAGATTTAAAAAAACGCAAATTTCAATTAAATTTTGCGAAAAAACGTGCGCGGTAAAAAAAATTGTATAAATAACTCGGTCATAAGGCCATTGTGGCACTCATCCTTTATATAACTCAATATTTGCCTTATGAAACTCGTTCTTGAATATAGTATTAATGCTTTTAGTAAAAAATAAAAATATTGCTATAGCAGCATATAATACTACAGTAATTTCTGGGTTAAATACGGCAATGTTACTAGAAGGAACTGAAGAGGAGGAAGAAGGTGCTTACCACGACGAAAATGATAAAAATGGTATTACTTTAGACTTAGGTTCGAAAAAATCCTTCAATCACATTAAAATGAAGATATTAGGGTAAGTTACTGATGTGCTTAAAGCGTCCCAGAGTTCTAGGTCTATGTTTAAATAATTTTAGAAAATATTATTCCTCTTACTACCTAGAAACTTCACATAACCAAAAAAAGTGGCACAAACTTATTGATTACAGTCAATATTCGTGTAGTCATGAACAGAATTTGTATTTTGATGGAGTACAACAAGCTAGATACATTCGAGCAGTCTTTTCAAAGGTATGTATTAATAAAATTACGGTTTATTTTTGGAAGTTTGTCATTTTAATGATACAGAAGAATATTTAATTAATAATACTTTTTCAAAAAATTTCGGGCAAATGACATTAACATGAAAGTCATATTCCCACTGCTTTTCATTGATCTATGAGAACCTGATTTGCTCATATTGCCCGAAATTTTTTAGAACTGATGTATTCTACTGGAAATTTCTAAGGGAAATATATTTTATTACATCTGTAAATGGTTCGTAGCAACCGTTGGTAGTAATTGTTTTGTCAAAACATGATTTATAATAATACCGTGTGTTCAATAATTATTTAGATCAAAGAACGCTGTGAGGTTTTGAACGTATGTCTTCTCGGTTTCGGATACTTTTCAGATTATGCAGTTAAACAAACACATGTGTAATGTTGGTTCCATACCGACATAAATAAATTTACAAACGAAGGTTAGCTTTTGCTTGTTCCAAGCTTGAAAAACTAGTGAAAGAAAATAACTTCTGCAGATTTGTAAATAAGTTTACGTAAAAGGATAAAACAATCTTAAATAAACTGTTGGAAATTGAATGTAAACTTATCTGTATCATCAAAGAGTTCACGTAAAAAATTCAAATTGTCTACTGCAATTCTGTTATCATTAGTATTATACTGAACCTATCCAAAGTGATATACGTATCTTTGCAAAAATGTTGATGACGTCATCACAAAATTTTGTTAAGGGGAAACTCATTTGGATCGTACGCCCGCACGCTTCTTTACATTTACTTTAACGTTACATACATATCTTTATTACTTCCCGAGCGTAAGCAAAGGAAGTATTGTAACCAAGTCCGTCGGCTGACTTCTACTTTTACGTTTTCTCGATCTTTCATGACCCCTAGAATACGAAGAAATAGGTCTCCCATTTCCGTCTGTCTGTCCGTCTGTCCGTCCGTCTGTCCGTCCGTCTGTCCGTCTGTTCGTCTGTCCGTCTGTCTGCCGTTTAGGATTAGGATTAGGAATATCATGTAGATGGTAAAACGCTAACCAAAATTTGTCTAATCATCCCCACCACTAATGCGATGACGTCACTTCAAAATTGTACATAGTAAATGGGTCTTAAATTGTATAAAATAACATAGTCCTACACATGTAGTTTACGACTCCGAATTCAGTTTTTACCCGAAAAGTCCAGATTTTTGGAAAAAAATCAAAATTATAAAACAACATTTTGCAATTTAATTTTGAATCTGCTAACCCAAATGTTTTGAAATGTTGCAGATGTTTTAAGGCTCTAAAGAGCATCATAAATCTTTAGTCAAAATATATTTGGTTATCCCCTCCAAAAACTTGATGACGTCAGCTCAAAAGTTTGCCGAATAAATCCTATCTAAAATGTACAAAATATGATGCGTCTGTACTTGTGATATATCACTCCATTCATATTTTTTGGATTTGCATATACAGGGTGACTCAAAAAAATTAATGAATGCGCAAAATTTATTTTACTGATTTACTCAGGAACTACAAAACCGAATGCTTTGAAATCTTGAAGATGTTTTAAAATTATCATAACCATGGTAAATTTTTGATCAAAATGTATTTGGTCGTCCCCCCATAAAAAATTTATGACGTCACCACAAAATTTTGCTGAATGAACCCTATCTAAAATACACAAAATATGGTGAGTCTCTTCTTGTGATTTATCATTCCATTCAAATTTTTTCTATTTCCATATACAGAGTGACTCAAAAAATTAATAAATGGGTGAATTTATTTTATTGAGTTAATCAGGAACTACAAAACCGAATGCTTTGAAATCTTGCAGATGTTTTAAGGTTATAAAGAGCATAATAAATGTTTAGTCAAAATACATTTGCTTACCCCCTCCAAAAAATTGTTGACGTCAGCTCGAAAGTTTGCCGAATAAATCCTATCTACACTGTACAAAATATGATGAGTCTGTACTTGTGATTTATCACTCCATTGATATCTTTTGGATTTGCATATACAGGGTGACTCAAAAAAATTAATGAATGCGTAAATTTATTTTATTGATTTAATCAAGAACTACAAAACCGAATGCTTTCAAATCTTGCAGATGTTTTAAGGTTATAAAGAGCATAATTAATGTTTAGTCAAAATATACTTGCTTATCCCCTCCAAAAACTTGATGACGTTAGCTCAAAAGTTTGCCAAATAAATAATATCTCAAACGTACAAAATATGATGAGTCTGTACTTGTGATCTATCACTCCATTCATATTTTTGGTTTTGCATATACAAGGTGACTCAAAAAAATTAATGAATGCGTAAATTTATTTTATTGATTTACTCAGGAACTACAAAACATAATAGGCATGCAGTCGTCACATTTCCGACAGCGAGGGAAGTACTGTCTAAACTCTTTAGACCAATTTTTTTTATAAGTAAAATCAAAACTATAAAGCCGACTGTCCCGAAATCTTGCAGAATAAATCCTGTATAAAATGTACAAAATAAATGTGGGGCTCCACATATAAGATAACAGTGGCTTCATATTTTATAGATTTGCTTATACAGGGTGTCTCAAAAGTGATAATGAATTTATTTTATTGATTAAATAAAAAACGTTTTCACTCGTTTTTGAAGTTCTATAAATAAAGTGTTGATTTATTAGTGTTGCACTCCATCTACCCAAACCTAATTTATTTCTTCCTACAAAAACATTCGTGAATTCGTCATAAAACTTCATTAAGAAAAACTCACTTTACCTGTAATTTAAAAGTTCACACTTGTTTTCATTTTAACTTACATATATGCACTGTCATATAAAAACAAAGTTTTTTTTTCAGAAGTAACTACTTAAATTGAAATAATAGTGTTACCATACACGGGTGTTTAATACCGAGGTGGGTAAAACTCAACAATGTATTTCTCAGCAACTCAAATTTACACAACTAACTATTACAGCGATTATGTACAGATTCGACTCGCTTACTGAATAATCTCGTTCCCGAAGGTGGCCTCTATTTAAATTCATACTCCCCTTCTAGATATTTTGCAATCTAGTTCTTTCTGTAATACCTATCGCAACTTCCGCTTCCAGGCTTTTTGCCGCCCGGCCGCCGTCACAGACGATGAGTCACTCATCATCGCGGTATATACTAGAACCCATAGGCGTCGTACCGAGGCGGCGTATGGGTTTCTTTCGTAACAATTACTTATAATATAAATATATTATGATGAGTGGTGTATTTTGAGAGGAAACTCGCAACACTGTTATTTAAGTACATAGTTACAAACTTGAGAAATTCATACACTACATGCATACATCATATTAAATAATTATTCTTTTAGGTCTGTAATCTTTGGTTCGATTATTATTTACTTACAATAGTAATTTAAACGAATATACTAAAGGGAATATTATTTTTGTAGCAAATTTCTCTTGGTAAATTTGAAGTTTCCTTCGACAGCAAAATTCCTGAAGTACACAAACAAATTATATATCCACTATCAAACGTTGTATCTTCTGAAACCAAAATATTTGTGGGGTAAGTTACTTTAATGTAAAGTATGTTTACGTCAGCGTAAACATATTTTAAAATATATTTCTGATTTTTTTTTCGTTTACCAAAATAGGCACAAACGTCGTGATATCTTCACTACAATAACGCTCATTTTAAGTAAGGATGTTATTGTTTCTTATAACGAATATAAAATGTCAATCCGTCATTTTAGATCAGCCATACATGATTTCGTACATGACAGTTTTGTTACGATTTTATGTATTTATTGATGGAATAGAAACATCTACGGATTATGCAAACTGGCAGACACTTGAAAGCGTGACAAATGAAAAAGATACCAGCCGTCGTCATATTTTACGTTTTAAGGAAAGAATAGTCAATTCCATTAAAATTACTGGCCAACTTTCTTCTGATAAGGTTAGTTATACTTTTGATAACGAATTTATCGAAATTTTACTTATGCAAAGTATTTTCATTAAACAGACATGGAAAAACTTTAAAGAGTTTTTGGAAGATTTTGAGTGCTTTTATGTAAGAGACGACGAAAACTAGTTCCCAGCATTCCGTTTTTATAGATTTATAATTAAATTTGATCTTGTGACCTAAAATACAAACTGATGTAACATAAATTTTTCAAATAAACTAATGTCACTTCGAAAATTTTTTAATGAATAGCAAATTTTGGATATTTTGTTATTATTATTTTAGAAGGTATCACGCTTATTTAATGGATTATACATAGATTTCGTATTTATTAGGTTTCGTAAGTTGATATTCGTAGATAGAATTGAAGTTCTTGTGTCTTATTATATTTATGCATGTAAGTTTACTCCTATGTATGTAGAGTTATATTTTAATATAAGAATTAAAATGTTGGGAGCGTTTAATTATTACCTCTTCCCTGGATGGTGTAAAATTTAAATAAAAACATCTCTATTTTAAATATCGTTAGTTAAAATAGAACTGAAGCCTGCATAAGTGAATTTCCTGTCACTTGTTTGTTGATTTTGCTTAAAATTTAGCAGTTGGGAACAGCTTTCGGTTGACAGAGAAGACTTTTTATTAAGAAAAACTCATCATTTAACAGAAGAGGTAACGATTTTATAAAATGAATTAAAAAAAAAGAAAGATTTTTCTATATTTTGCTTTCGATTGTGTGTACTGTACTGCAAGATTTGGCGAGCAGTTTTACAGCTCTATCTGTTGGCCGTTCAGAGTATACCCAAAATTTTGAGAAGACGTTATCCCGTTGTTGGTGGGGATGATTAGACAAATTTTTAGTTAGCGTTTTGTCGTCTGTATGATATTCCTAATCTACGTATAAAATTTGACAACAGTTGCTCCAGTACTTTCGTAGATGTCTACTAAATATCGACAAACGACTGATATAAAGGAACGAGATACCTATTTTTGCGTACTCTAGGGGTTATGAAACGTCGAGCAAACCACAGATAGACTCATAATACAATGCTTACTTCCTTAGCTTACGCCCCAAAAGTAAAAAATTGGTCTAAAGAGTTTAGACAGTACTTCCCTCGCTGTCGGAAACTTGACGACTGCATGCCTATTGTGTTTTTTTCTCATTACATTTTTGTAGTGGGAATTTAAAAAAAAATGCGATGACGTCATCAACATTTTTGCAAGGACACGTATATCACTTGGGAAAGATGTAGTGTAATACTAAGAATAAAATTATTGTATTCCCAAATTTTCGGGAAAATGAATTGGGTCGTTTTGAATATTGATTTGTAATAATCAATAAAATAACGAAACAATTTACTCACGTATACGGCGCCGGCGTGTACTAGGAGAGGCAACTGAAAATCGTTTATGTATAAGCATTCTTAATTTAAGATGACAAGCGTAACAGCATACGTGAGAGTCAAACAGAGAAACTGTAGACAAAACGACCATCGGTTTTATTGCTTCGACTTCGGCTTATTATATAAAACACTGGGTTTTATTTTCATTTTTGACGGTGGAATTCACAATTGGTTGATTATAAACATGTCTATTCCACATTCGCGGAACCTAGTCAGCGCATAAAACAAATGTACGTCTGTGATGTTAAAATCGATGTAAATATATTTACATCGACTTTAACATTACGCTTATAAGCGTGCTACCCTTACGTTTCAACCGAGTTTTTACTTTAAAAAATTTTGTGTCTACCAAATTGGGTTGATCCAATGTAATACTAATAATAAGTGTTGCCTTTAATTTAATCAATAAAATAAATTGACTTCATTAATTTTTTTGAGCCACTTCTTAAGAAAATCTAAAAAATATGAATGGAATATAAATCACAAGTACAAACTCATCATATTTTTTGCATTTTAGATAGGATTTATTCAGCAAAATTTTGTGGTGATGTCATAAATTTTTTAGGAGGGACGACCAAATACATTTTGATCAAAAATTTACAATGCTTATGATAATTTTAAAACATCTTCAAGATTTCAAAGCATTCGGTTTTATAGTTCCTGAGTAAATAAGTAAAATAAATTTTGCGCATTCATTAATTTTTTTGAGTCACCCTGTATATGCAAATCCAAAAAATATGAATGGAGTGATATATCACAAGTACAGACGCATCATATTTTGTACATTTTAGATAGGATTTATTCGGCAAACTTTTGAGCTGAGGTCATCAAGTTTTTGGAGGGGATAACCAAATATATTTTGACTAAAGATTTATGATGCTCTTTAGAGCCTTAAAACATCTGCAACATTTCAAAACATTCGGGTTAGCAGATTCAAAATTAAATTGCAACTCAATATGGAATCATAAACTACATGTCTAGCACTATGTTATTTTATACAATTTGAAACCCATTCACTATGTACAATTTTGAAGTGATGTCATCGCACTATTGGTGGAGATGGTTAGAGAAATTTTGGTTAGCGTTTTACCATCTACATTCTACATGATATTCCCAATATACCTAAATACAAAATTTGACAACAATCAGCCCAGTACTTTCGGAGATTATCTGTCTAATAAAAATCCGGGACGGCAGACGGATGGACAGACAGACAGATAGTAAACAGACAGACAGACGGAAAGGGGTCTTAAAAGGTCGAGAAAACGTAAAAGTAGAGAGTCGGTCGACGGACTCGATTAGCATGCTTCCCTTGCTTACGCTCGGGAAGTTAAAATACTGGAGGAATCGGGAATAATTTGGAAGAATTTGCAGAGATCTGAAAGAATCTGAACAGATCTGAAAAATATGAAAGAATCTTGAGATTTCATGATGGTGTCTTGATAGAATCTTAAAAAATTGAAAGAATTAAAAACAATCAATCCGGAAGCATCGAAAATTGCATTCGGAATAATCAGAAAGAATAAAAAAAAATCGAAAAAATCTGAAAGAGAGAATCTGAAAGAAAATGAAAGCATTTGAAAGAATCTGGAGGAATTTGATGGAATCTGAGGAAACCTGTGGGAATCTGTGAGAATCTCGAAGAATTTAGAAAAATCTGGAACAATTTGGAAAAGCCTGCAAGAATTTGAAAGTAAGTATCTGCACGGTTTTAAAACGACTTGAATAGAATTCGAAAATTCGAATAAATCGTGAGGATTCCTGACGGTGTCTTTGAAAGAATCTGAAAAAGTTCGAAAAAATCCAAAAGTATTCGAAAGGAAGAATCTTAAAAAAAAAGAATCTGAAAACATCTGAAAGAATCTGTGGGAATCCAAGAAAATCTGGGGGAACATGAAACTAACAATCGGAAAGAATTAGAAAGAATCAGAGGGTATCGGAAAGAATCTCAGGAATAATCTAGACGAATCTAGGTAAACCTGGAAGGATCTGAGAGAATTTGAGAGAATCTAGAAAAATGTAGAAAAAATGGAAGAATGTAGAACAGTCTGCAGGGATCTGAAAGAATTCAAAGCGATCTTGAAAAATTCTGTGGAAGACTGAGTGAATATTCAGGGATATTGACAGAATATGAAAGAATAGAAAGAAATCTGTAACAAAGTGAATTTTTTCTAGAAACTTTCGCATTAATTTTTCAACAAGTCTTGCACGAGATTTCTCTTTGTTGATACTGCCAGTTCGAACAAATCTGTTGATTGCGGCTCTAATCTGAGCCTTTAACGATGTTTCTTGAATTATTAAATCAGGTTATTCTTGGTTACAAGCGGACATAACGATGAAAGTGTCTTGTTCAACAGAATAAACCATTTTCGCAGGCTTTGCTTACTAGCACAAAACAAAGTTTTCGTACGCAACCACCAAGAGTGCGAAGCGGGATTTTTGAAATCCATGGCAACTACGCCCTTAGAATCTGGGGAATCTGATCTCAGGTGCCGTCACTGCTATCCGTAGACGCCGGATCCAGGTTGTGGGCCACCTCTTCCCGAAACTCCTCGTGGAAAAGACCTCCATCTTGCCCGTTTTCTTCCCGAGCTCCTCACTCGACCCTCGCCCCCGCTATCTCTCCTGTTCTTATCTCCTCTTTTTCTGTCCCGTTTTTCCGATAGCTCCCACCAACACCACGCGTGATAGACGCGTTCTTTCTTTTAATAAGTATTAAAGAATTTAAAATTAAATAAATACCCGGTACAATGACTATGAATTTTTGAAATTATCGGACCAATTATTGCGAAATATTATTTTAATATTAACGTAAAATTAGTAAAATATGGAGTTACTTTAAGATAGTTATGTTGTTAAGAATAGTTTTAACTAGCGTGTATAATAAGTGTGTATTATCGCCGGAAGTTAGGCAAGCAGGAATTCTATCTTGCCCCTAGGATCTAGCTTCACCACCGCGCTCCCCTTTTTAACCCCCACCTACATATATAGAACATAGACAAAGACATGTGTTGTTCTTCGTTCGCTATATTAACAGCAGACGAGACAGTCATCAGTGCCCGTCGGTCCGGTTTTTGTAAACTACATTGTTTGAAGATTGTGGAGGAAGATTAGCATCACAGGGTGAGTCCTTCATCCATCTTCCTAAAATTGTTATTTGTTTAATCGGTTTCTGTATCGTAAACATCGTACCAGACTGTTTAATTAGTCCATAGTTTACAGTTGTTTTTTTGTTTAATTGCTTGTGTTAGCTTGGGCTTGAACAAGAGTCCAACGGAAACGTTCGTTATTTTGAATTTTCCTTGCATCGATGCAAATTCCAAACATTTTGCGTCGCACTGTGATTTTGCTTTTGCTCAACGGAAACTTTGGAAATATGTAGACAATATTTTCAATTTTCTTTACGTCGACGCGGATTCGGAATATTTTCTAATGGCGGCCAAATTGAAGGTGGTATGGAACTGTTGGAAGAACACAAGGTAGCCACCTCCGCGTTAGTAGAAACCCCGCTCAGAGGTTTGTTTTCTTTTCGTTCAGCGCGTGCAGAAAATTGCAGATTTTCGGAAATAGGACGCGTCGCTCATGGTGTTTATCCAATATGGCCGACCCCGATTTTGAGACCGAAGACACGGTGAATAAGACTTTGATCGACTATATTCTGAAATTGGACTAAAATATAATAAACTTTTCCTCGCATGTTACGTTACGGAATTTCGATGACGATTTTGTAAAATGGTCCTTAGCCCCAGAGGACAAATTTCAGTATTTACTTAGTTGCTTGTCCGGTGTGGGTTACGCCTTAAGAATAGAACACTCTGTATAGTAAAAAATAATTTTAGAGTATAATCTTCAAAGAACCGTAAAACTTTGGTCTTTGATTTTTTTTCTATTTCTAATAATTAATGAATTATAGAGGAACACACGCTTGGTGACTCATCCTGTGTAATATTTTATTATAAGCAGTGGGAATCTTTGGCCGTAAACATCTATTCAATCACAGTGTGACCAATATCTCCGGGTGAGAAGTGAGGCGCGAGAGGTTTCCACCCCA